CGGCAGGTGAACACCACCCCGGGTATCTCATCTGGCCATCGGTCCCTGGCCAGGCGGTGCCCCGCCGTTATCACAGGAGGGTTTATCTCCCCGATCATTAACCAAATCGGGCAGGGACCCGGCTGTTTGCTTTGGGTTGCAAAGAAAAGCGGCAGAAAGGAAGGAAGGAGGGGAAACCCCCCACCCCGGGGGTGAGCTGGGTGCACCTGCGTGGCATGGCACGGCCCCCAGTGCTCTGCCTGCTGCTGAAACATGGGGTGCCAGGGCTGCTCCCTGCCCCCCTGCCCTGGGACCGACAGCGCCTGCTCACCCGGCGCTGTGCCTCGGCTTATCTCCCCATCGAGAGATTTCAAAGAAATAGGCTGAGCTGTGCCGGAGAGCAAAGATTAACGCTGTCATCACACCACAGCCACGCACCGGGCAATCAACGGCTGAGAAGGCACGGCTGGCACCCAAGTCCCCAGGGAGTTTGGGGTCCCCCCCGTTGGGCATGCAGGGTGGGACGAAGCCCACGGGGTCACAGAGCGCTGGTGAGGCATCACCATGCAATGTCCTCTGGCACGGGGCAACCACGGGACCGGGGTGTGATGAACTTCTGGAAGAGCCAGAAGTTCTGCATCTGCAAGGTGACCCATAGCATCCTTATGGCCGGGGAGATAAACAGTGTGGCCAGCTGGGGAGGCACCACCAGAAGCTGTGCTGAGCTGGACCTGCTCCTGTGGCCACCAGGGTTTGCTCCCGGATGCTCCAGGGGTGCAGTTGCATCCACGTTTCTTTTCCCTGTGTGAGCAAGCAGGAGGGAAGAGCAGAGGGTGCCTGCCCAGCCCTGGGCAAACCCACTGGGTCCCAATCCAAGAGGCTCCCGCATCCCCTCGCCCCAACTGCATCCGCCCCACTTTAATCAAACCTGAATGAACCAGCTCTGCCCCTCGGCAGGGATCCGGGCTCGGAGGTCCCCAGAGTGTTTGCAGCTGCCTGGATACTATCTGGATAAATACTGCTATCGGGGCGTCACGGGACTGCGTCCCAACATCAGCCACGCCGTGCCACTCCTATTAATACAGCACTTTGCACCCCGTCCCGGGGGGCTGCCAGCCCTTGGGGGGGACCACAATGCCGGGTATAGCCCCCAGATGAGCCCCAGGTGATGCAGAGCCTGGGGGAATGGGGAAGAACTGGTGGTCTGTGCTCCCATCCCAGCGCACGCAGGATGTCCTCGTGGCACAGGGAACCCTCAAGGGGGAGGGAGGATGGATGGATGGATGAATGGATCCATCCATTGGTACCCAACCTCCCGTGGATTTCCCACTCCCATCCAGGGAAAGCCGAGCTGGAGAAGCCCCAATTTCCCCGGCAGCCCCGGCCCGGCCCCGCCGCCTGCCCCAGCTGCTGTTTTTAGAAGCGGCGAACGCGCGGCGGAAGGAATAAATCCTGACAACTCAACTAGCGAAATGATGTGATGGCACCGCTCCGATAAGATGGAGGGAGGCGATTGGGAAGAGTCTTAAGCTGCGAACACGCAGCATCTCCACTCTTCACCTCCGCTCACAAAGGGAAATCTCTCCAAAGGGGCTAAGGAGATTATCCCGGCTTTGCCATCCCGGGTGCTCGAGTAATCAGGGCAGCCTTGGGGACGACAAAGGAGTGAGGAGGGTTTAAATTCGAGCCTTGCTGGGCTGCGCCTGCTTGGGCTCAGCCTGGGGCTGCTCTGGCTGAGCTGCCATGGACCAAGGGGGAACGGTAGTGAGAGAGCTGGGCTTCTGCTTGCTCTGCTCTCCAGCTTTGGGGTGCAGGGGGGGCACCCCACTGCCCCCGGGGGGGCGGGAGCTGAAGGGAGATTTCTACCTTTATCGCTCCTGCCCATCGCTGGCGATTTATTGATTTTTTTTTTTTTTTTTTTTTTGACAGAGTACAAAAGCAAATCTTTATCGGGCTGAACCCTGCCCCTGGTTAATGAAGGAGCTGTGACCTACCCTGGAGAGCAGAGCAGAGCAGGCACCTCCTGGTGCCTGGGTGAACATTGGGGCTGAGGAGGGGGGGGGGGGCGATGGCACCCAGGAGGTGCTGCACCCCATAAAGGGCTGGGCAGCCTGCTCGCCAGCTGTGGCGCACAGCTGGCAGGCGCTGGCAGCGGGGCTGGCAGCAGCTGTGCCACGCGTCGCCCGGGGATTGCCCTTCCCGTATGCCCCACGCGAGCCGGGGTGCCCTGCCCCAGCAGGATGCACCCCGATAAGCCTCCCCGTCCCCCTGGGGCCGGGGGGGACGGGGGGGGGGGGGGGGGGGGGGGGGGCGATGGCACCCAGGAGGTGCTGCACCCCATAAAGGGCTGGGCAGCCTGCTCGCCAGCTGTGGCGCACAGCTGGCAGGCGCTGGCAGCGGGGCTGGCAGCAGCTGTGCCACGCGTCGCCCGGGGATTGCCCTTCCCGTATGCCCCACGCGAGCCGGGGTGCCCTGCCCCAGCAGGATGCACCCCGATAAGCCTCCCCGGGACGTTTGTGTTTGGGGTGTTGCTGTGTCCTGCCGGGATGTGGGCCTGACAGGGTCCCTGTCCCCATAGGGTCCCCCTGTCCCCAGGAAATAAATGGGAGCTGTGCCCACGAGGGCAGGGACGGGAATAAACACCGGGAATAACGTCAGAAAGAGCTCAGGGGGAGGATGGGAAGGAGGAAAACTTTCCAACTCCCCCAGGGCTGCCAAGGGTGACTGGACCCCTCTGCAGGGAGCCCCTGTCCCTGCTCTGTCCCCACTCTTGGGATTGCTGGGACCTCCCAGCCTGGCCCATGCTAGTGCCAGGCAGTGGGTAAGGGTGCACTGGGGGAAGGGGAGGGGGGTGCAGGAAGCTGGGGGGAGAGGAAGGGGAGAGAAGGGGCCCCCGGAGCCGATGCAGAGGGCAGATAACCTCTCCGGAAAGGGGAGGGGACCACATGGGGGGGGTCGCTGCCACCCCGCCAGGCAGGACCTGCTTGTGGGGGTGGAGGGGAACAGCACCCAGAGGGAGGAGGAGAGCGAGAGCTCGGCTCCAACACCAAGTCCAAAACCCACTGGTCCTCAGGGCTCCCATCCCAAGTATGCAAGACTTTTTTTCCTCCTTCCCAAGGGAAAATGGAGGAGAGGACGGGGACAGACAGGGGGACACTACCTGCACCTCTCAAGACACTCCAGCACTACCCAACGCAGGGGTGTCCCTCCACTCTAGCAATGTCCACAAACTGGCCCATGCCTCCTTTCTACCCCAGCAGCGTCCTCAAACTGGTTGGGCATCCCTCTACCCCAACAGTGTCCTCAAACTGGTCCACGCATCCTTCCATCCAGCAATGTTCCCAAACCGGTCCCAGCATGCCTTCACCCCATCAATGTCCCCAAACCAGTTTGAGCATCCCTTCACCCCATCGGTGTCCCCCAAACTGTCCTGAGCACCCCTCCACCCTGCAGTGTCCCCAGACAGAAGGCAGGGACGTGTGGGTAGGTGAGCTGCACACAGCAGAGACAGGGTCCCCTTTGATGTCCCCCAATCCAGGACAGGTGCCCCTGGCCCTGCTGGGACCATCCTCAGCCTGGTGCCAACCATCCCACCGCCTTTGGTGCCAGCACGTGGCTTTGCCAGATACAAACCAACCAGGGGGAGTTCAAGGTCCTGGGAGACCCCCCTGAATTGGGGGGGCTACTTGCCCCGAACCCCAACTTCTCCCCATCCCCCAGCAATCTAACACAAACACAACTATCTGCTGCTCAGCCCGGCTCCTGGCGATAAAAGAGAAATAGCTGGAATAATTTTTTTTCCCACCCACACATACCAGGGCGGAGGGGGAAGGGGGAGCGATGGGGCAGATGCGGCGCGGTGCCGGCCATCCGGACGAGCCATCCCTCCTCGCCGTGCCCTGCTCGACCCGATAATAAACCTTGAGGTTTGCAGACAAACTCCGGGCAGCTGGAGATTATTCAGGCAGGAGTCGCGGCGCAGATAAACACAACCGAAGGCGAGCGGGAGGCGAAGGGGAAGGGGAAGGCGGCGGGGGAAAGGAAAGAAAAGAAAAGAAAAAAAAAGTTTGCAGTTTTAATTAGATGCATCAAAAAAACCCCACCAACGTAGGAAAGCTGCTCTGCCCCATCCCGATATCCCACACACAGAACTAGTGGTGAGGATGGATTTGGGGCTCATGGCTGGTCCCAGGAGAGGTGGATCTGTGCCATGCTCTGTAATTAACTCAGAGCCATCGTTACCAGCCAGGAGCAATTAAATAAACCCCAAACAGACGAGGTGGCAGTGGGGAGGTGGGGGCTCAGCGCAGTGGAAATCTTGGTGGAGACTCAAATAGCAAAGCTGATATAGGAAAGAGGGTGAGGAACCCCCTGGGAGCCACCACTGCTCTTTTGGAGAGGGTGGTGGGACACGTCCAGGGACACAAGGCAAAAGCCACCCTGGGTTTGGCCCCATCTGCTCCATCCCATCCCTACTGGTGGCCCATCGGCGTCCCCACAGGGACAAAAGCAAAAAGCTACACCCCACCTTGCAGATAGACAAGCTTTGGCTGGGTTTCTCCTGGCAGCTCCTAATGGGGATTCTCCAGTGTCTTGTAATGCGGCTGAGCGGCCTATCTCTCAGCGGGGCTCTGCTTTCCCCCATTCCCCTGCCCCAACAGGGGAAAATTGTGAAATTTGTCATGGCTTTTCACCTTACTCCTCTAGGAAAATTGGCCCAACATGGTGAGGTTGGCTGGACAGTGATGGGGTGGAAGGGAACAGCCCTGGGAGGGGAGCTGGAGGCTCCTTAAAGTCTCAGCTACCGGCTCCGCTCCAGAGGGAACAAAAACAAGTGGGAAAGATGGAAACCTGGGGCATGGCAGAGAGCTGCTGGTGGGGCTGTTGGGAAGAGTTTGGGGGAATCTGAGAAGGATGGTCATCTCCTCTCTGGTCCCACCAGAGTGATGGTGGGACCACCATCTGATCCCACCAGATGAAGCGGGCTGCCACGAAGCACGGCCACACTCCATCCCAGGACCCCGCTGAGAAGCAGAACCAAGTTGGGGTGACCAACCACCCCGGCCGAAAGGGCGGCACATCTGTAAAGGCTCCCGAGTCTGGGATTACAGCCTCCAGCTCCTGGGGATTTGAATATCAGCCGGGCGAGCAGCAGCCCCCTCCAACGAACAAGGTCATTTCAAAGATAAAACAAAATACTCCTCCTTCCTCCAGCCGGCACGCAGGGCCAAGGAGCCCCACGGCGAGGTCCCAGCACTCTGTGTCCCCAAGCCCCCAGCGGGCAGCACCTCTGGAGAGCCAGAGGGCAAAGCCCTAGTGGGTATGACCCAGTAACCCCCCAAAAAAGGGCCAGGGGAAGGCGAGACCCCACATGTATGAACAAAGGCACCCGGAGCAGCCCGCTTGGCCCCCCCCACCCCCCCGCCACGCTGCATCTTCGCGGCTGCCATTGCTGACATACGGCGGATCCTGCCAGATAAAAAAGAAAATTCAGGCTGCTCAGAGTTTCCCTTTTCGCCAGCTCCATCCCTGATAAGTGCAGAGCCTGCAGAGCGCCTGATAGACGGGCTATCGCGGCGGTTGGTGCGAAAGGAACACCCTATCGCTGCAGCATCGCCGGACCGCCATCAACTCCCAGCCACACAGAAATTAATACCACTCCAATTACCAGAATAGAGATGGGCTGGGAGAAGGCGATAATAAAATCTCTTTTACATAAAGAATGCAAATAACCAGCTCCAGCGAGGGAAGAAGGGGGAAGGGGAGGCATGGCCAGAGCCGAGTCCTCGTGGTCTCTTTTGGGGAGCCTGTGGTTGATGGGTGCTGCCGGGATACGGGGCTGTGTGGTGATGTGACCCCTTCCCCCCCCACCAAGGTTTGGGGACACCCATGGGTTTGGCACCACAGCCCCCTCCCGCCTTGCACTGGGATGCCAGCGCAGGAGTGGGGGAGCCTGGCGGTGCTGGGGGGGGCAAAGGGCCGGGGAACAGATAAGGAGGAGCCGGGGGTGGCCTCGCAGCTCCTTCCTGCCCGGCACGCAGGAAGGGCTGGGATATCAGCGGGGCCGGCGAGCGCTTCCCCTCGGATGGGGCGGGAAGGGGGAGCGGGGCCATGGCCCCCCGCCACCAGGCCGTGGGGATTTGGGCAGCTGCAGGAGCACGTGCGCTGGCAGCCGGCGTTTCCCAGGGCTTCTCCATTGCCCGAGCCCATGTGGGAGGTTGGTGGCATTGGGGACACACCAGAGGACCCCCCCAGCACCATCGTACCCATCACTGAAAGGCGATCGCTGCCCTGCATCGGGGTCACCCCTTCCCATCACGGGCTGCTTCAAAACCAGATCCACCCTCATTGCCCAGCCAGGAGGTCCCTTGGGAAGAGCGGGATGTGGGCAGGGGTTGGCAGCACAAGCAGAACCCAAAACATGGCACATCAATTCTGAGGTGGGGGTGGGTCTGAGATTCTCCCGGTCCCATCCCCGTCTGCCCGCCGGGTGCCATCCCCAGCGGACGGGCACCCACAAACCCAATCTACGCGGCGGAGCCCCAACGATAACCCCATCGGCGGGTTGGTTTGGAGATAGTGGGGGCGATAGGGCGCGGGGTACCCACATGGCACGCCTGGCCTCGCCGGGCTCCCAGGGTGCCAGCAGCCCCGGCGCGAAGATGCTGAGAGGCAGATAGACGGCTGTATTCGCTCCTTGGGGTTTTGATAACCATCGCGAAACCACTCGAGCGTCGCTCTTGTGGTTGCCAGGATGTTTGCAAAATGCCCTTGCGAGCGCGGGGCAGTGCAGGACGGGGGGTCGAAACCTTCCCTGCGCTGGGGAGTGCGATGCCAGCCATGGCCCTGGCATCCCCACATCTCCTGGCTCAGTTTTTACCATCTCAACAGCAACGTGGGGATGTGAGGGACCACAACCATCATCTCGTACCTCCTCTCCCAGCAGAAGTGCTGGTATTTGCAGCCTGCCCAGCTCAAGGTCCTCCTCATACTGGTTTTTGCAAGAGATGGCGAACACCTGGGGGTTGCCCCAGCCCTTGGTCCAGCCAGGATGCTGGAATAGGGCAGGATGACTGGCCACACACTAGGGACTTACCTGGCCCATTCCAGGTGTCCAGCTCCTGTGGATTTTCTCCGGGATCCGGCTTCTCCGGCTCCTTTGGACTCTCCGGGGTGTCTCTGGACTCTGCAGCAGGAGAGGGAAGGCAGGAGGTTACACATGGAGAATTTCAGAGGCAACATCCTGTGGGGGTCAGGACCACTGGACCAGCAACCCCCTGGTGCCAGGATGTGTGGGGGTTCACCTTTGAGGATGCGCATGGGGAAGGGGGGTTCCCCCTCAAAATCCCTGTGTCCAACCCCCACCATTGTCCAGCCAGGGGGTCCCCCGCACCCCACGGGATGACCCATAAGGACAGCCAAGCCCACCCACCCATCATCCCCAGGGATTTCCCGAGAATCCCTTGGGTGGGCACCCACTTCCCACCCCCTCAAAACAAAATAATCCTCCGTGCCTCTCCCATCCCACCGTGGGCCCCACGTCACCCGGGTTCAGCCCCACTCCCGTCACGGCTCTATTTGTGGCGTATTCATAGCAACTTGATAACAATTATTTTCTCCATTAACTGCTGCTGGAGATGCAGCTGATAAAGCCTATCTGCATATGACAGTGTGGAAGATTAGCGCCCAAAGTACATGTTTGCCTTGGCGTCCCGGGCGGATAACCAGCACGGAGCCCAATCGATCGGCGCCAGAGCGAACACCCAAGGGTGACGTCACCGGCATTGGAGATTATTAATACAGGTGATAAGCGGAATGATTAACATCAAATAAATCAATCACCGGGTATAAAAGTCCTATTATTTTTGGCTATAAATCAAAGTGCCTGGCATATCGATTTTTATCCATCGCGCTGAAAGCTTTAGTGGCCGTTATTGCTGCTCGGCGTTATCTCTGCTATCACCTTTTTATCGAGGCAGGCTAGTGCCAGGTGCAGCTCCGCGCCCGGGCTCCCAGCTCCCTCGCCCCCAGCCCGGCTCCCCCATCAGATAAGAACCGCTCGGCTTCTCCCTGCTGCTGAGCAAAGTTTGCCAGCGAGCCCTCCCTGCCCCGGCTACGGGGGTGCCAGCGTGGATCCTTCCCTCCTTCCCACTGCATCCCAAGGTTTTGGGGGACACTTTGCTCCCCCTTGGCTGGTGGATGAAGGCAACAGGCGCTTGCCGGGGACCGGCCGGCTCCATTAGCCGGCGCAGCCTTGCCCTGCCGCGGTTATCTGGAAGGGCGCTGCAAACATTAACTGATTAGGATTTGCCCCCACCTCCACAGGAAGGAACTTAAAGGATATCTGGGGACTGTTTCGGCCCGGCCCTGAAACGCAGCCACCTCTGGGGTGGGGCACGGCATGGCTCGGCTTGGCACGGCACGGCGGCAGGCAGGCGGCGGCGTGGGCAGGAAGCAGGCAGCAAAAACCCTGGTCCCCCATCCCCATCCTCTCAGTGGCTGATTGAGTCACCCCAGGGACTCACTTTGCACCCCAAAAGGGTCACTGCATCCCAAAAGGGGGTCACTTTGTACCCCCCACCCCACCACCCCGACGTCACTCCACCAGTGGCGGGTGAAAGGCGGTGAAAGGGATCCAGGGTGAGGGTGCTCATTAGCAGCCATCACGCTGAACAACCCGCCTCCGGTTTCCAGCAGCCCTGGGCTTGTGCCCGCCACCCCCAGCACACCCCTGCCCCCAGGCCAAGCTGAGATTGCTCCTGTTTGTGCCAGCCCCGGGGAGCCCTCATTCCTGGCTGATTGCTCGCCATCACCCCAGAGCCAGCCTGTCCCCAGTAGGTCCCACCACCAGCCAGAGGGTGCCTGCAGGGATGGAGCACCCCAGGGAGGCTGCAGGGGGGGTCTCACTGAATCAACAGCCCACCCCTCAACGGGCAGGATACTTCACTCTCCTATGAGGACAGGCTGAGGGAGCTGGGATTGTTCAGCCTGGAGAAGAGGAGGCTCCGGGGAGACCTTATAGCGGCCTTTCAATATCTGAAGGGTGCCTACAGAAGAGCTGGGGAGGGACTCTTTGCCAGGAAGGGTAATGATAGGACAAGGGGAAACGGTTTTAAATTGGAAGAAAAAAGATTCAGATTAGATATCAGGAAGAAATTTTTTACTATGAGGGTGGTGAGACACTGGAACAGGTTGCCCAGGGAAGTTGTGGCTGCCCCATCCCTGGAAGTGTTCAAGGCCAGGTTGGATGGGGCTTTGAGCAACCTGCTCTAGTGGGAGGTGTCCCTGCCCATGGCAGGGGGGTTGGAACTAGATGATCTTTAAGGTCCCTTCCAACCCTAACCATTCTATGATTCTATGATTCTATAATTAACACCACGCACCAACAGCAGAGATGATGCCCAGGATGCTGGCATGCCCGGCAAGTTGGGGACAGCCTCTACCACCCGAACGTGGCAGGGGGACATCACGGTCAGCCCCCCTCTTCACTCACCTTCACTGCCAGGGGGGGTGGAGGTGTCGCGCTCAGCAGAGCCCTCGTGGTCTGAGGTGGCCCCCTCCCTCTCCGAGGGGCTCGTCTCCCCCACCGGGCCGTCCTCGCCTTCCTCCATCGCTGCCAGGGAACCTGCCGCAACACAGACGGGGTGGTTATGGGGGGAGAAAAATGGAGGGAAAAACACCCCAGTGGGTTTTCCCAGTTGGGAAATGTAGGATGCCAGCCCCAGAGGGGCTGGCAAAGGGTCCTTCCCCTGACCCACTGCGGTCATGGGGTCCAGAGGAGATGCCCTGCAGCTCTGCACACCACAGGAAAGAAAACCTCGTCCCCGGCCAGCCCTGTGGTCCAGCATCTCTCTTATCCCCTTGCAGAGGGGGTTTATAGAGCCACCACCTTGCCCCGGGGTGTCCCCCCGAGGGATGCCCAGTTACCCCTACAGACATCATGGGGAACGAGCCTCACATCTACCTGGGCCATGAGGAAGGTCCCCATGTGCCACAGGCATGGTGAGGTGCCCATCCTGCTGCAGCCCTCACCTCCACTTCCCACCCGAACCCCCCCTTCCAGTGCCTGTCCTGGAGAGGATGAGGGACCCCAGAGACCATCCCTCACAGTCCCCCGGCACCCCCTGTCTCTGATGGGGCACCCGCAATGCAGCCCCCCGCCATGCCCACAGCCTCAAAGGGGATGCTGCAGCAGGGACATGGAGGATGCAAAGAGGGTGCATGTTGAGGGGGACACCCCAGCAGACCCCCCCCACCCCAAACAGCCCTACCAGCCCACGCTGCTGTTTCCATGGCAACTCAGCATCTCTCTCTCTCTCTCTCTCCCCCCACCCTCCAATCCCTGCCGAAACCAAGAAGCAAAGGAAGAGCGGCGCACGCGGTTGGTGCCGCACGAAGCCACGCCGGGGGGCTGCCCCGTGCCCCATCCGGCACCACCCGCCGAGCCTGGCACACGGGCAGGGGGACCCAGCACGGTGACAAACCCTCTGCAGACCTCAGCTGCTCTCTGTGACTCCAGGCATGTATATTTACAGCGGGAGAACAAAGAGCCCATAATCTATACAAAGCAGACAACAATGAGCGTGAATAAAGAGGCTGCCGGAGAAGGGAAGGCAATTTATTCTAATTCTGCTAATTTCAGTTCCAGCACAATTAAAAAGGCTCTGATAATATTCAGAAACAATCGCCAGCTAACAAATCGTTTCTCTCGCTGTAAATGAAACATTGTTAGGCTAATTTCTTCTTTCACGCCTTCACGGCTCTTGGGCTTCTGATAAAGTTAACCCGACTCTCGCCTGCTCCATGGCTTGGCACCTCCAGCCTGGCCAAGGAGGGATGGACGGAGCCGGGGAGGGATGGACAGGGTCAGGACCACACGTGGCACCAACCCAGGGGTGCCCAGACCACCCTCATCCTGCCCCCAAACATGGAGCCCTGGCTGGGAGGAAGATGGTGATGCTCTGTATAAATACAATCGTGTAAAACCTAGGGTTTGGGTACCACAGCATCACTGAGCACCAACGGGGATGATGGGTGGCTGGCAGCATCCTGGTCCCACGTCACTGCGGTCCCTGGATGCATCCCAGCACCCAGCCTGCCCCACTGCACACACGTCCAGCCCCAGGGGATGTTCTGCCACCGGCACTCCCGGCTGCGTGGGTTAAACGAACTACTGGATAGCTCAAAAAAAAAAAAAAAAAAAAAAAAAAATTAAAAAAAAAAGAAGAAAAAAAGCAAGCGAGGGAGAGGGAGCGCGGAGCAGGGAGCGGAGCGTCACTTCTCCGGGATTGCTGGAAGCCCTGCACAGTTATCACCGCACACAGCCTCCCTCGGCTTGCCTGATCTGTCTATTCTTCATTAAGCAAATACGCTGAAATGGAAATGAAAACATAATAGCTATTTGATTTTCGGCGAGATATTTTGCATATTGGTTCAGTGCTGATAGTGGAATTTCATCAACTCCCTTTTTTCATGCTTTAAAACTGAATTACTGAGGCTGGCTTTACAGAGAGGGGAAGAGCCAAAAAATGCTCCCTTCCAAGATACTCCGCTTCGACGATTAACTCTTCTCCCTCCCTCCTTCCTCCTCTTTTTTTTTTTTTTTTTAAATTCCAACGATTGTAAAAACTTGCAGGAAGCAGAGGAGGTGTGCCCATGTCACCCATGCGGAGGCAGGGGACACGGGTCCAGGCGGGTGCGAGGGTTGGCATTCCCAGGGCTTTTCCAGCAGTAGGAAAACCCATCATTACCCAGGTGATGATTTAATCATTTTGCTCAAATTAAGGTTCTCCCCGGCGCAGGAACAATAAACCTTTTCTTGATTCTTTGCGCTTAGGCGGTAAATTTAATAAAAGGAAAAAATAATATAGAAAATAAAAAAAGGAGGGGGGACCTTCTCCAGGCTGCCAAGAGTGAGACCCTGGACGCTCTGAAAGCCGGCACGCAGACAAGAGCAAAGCGATAAGAGGCCTCGATAACAGATAGAAAATAGCAACAGCCCCAGACTTTCCCACCAGCCCTGGAGCGAGGAGGAGGAGGAGGAGGAAGAGAGGGAGGAGGAGGAGTCCCTGCGGTGGAAAGCGGGTCCTGGACAAAAAAAAAAAAAAAAAAAAAAGTGCAGGCTGGGGGCAACCTGCCTGTGCTGTCTGGCGGTCGTCGGCACGCATCCATGTCCAAAAAGTTACTATTTTTAAAAATAAAAAGGCTGGGTAGATGGTGAGCCCAAGGGAAGGCTCCAGGAGCCACAGAGTGAGGGTGAGAGCCCGGATCTGGGCAGCCTCACACCCCAAACCTCACCTACAGGTACCTCAAAGCTTATGGTGCAGCAAGTCCCCAGGGCACTTGGCTCCAGGTGGTGGTGGGCACTCTCCCAGTGCTGGTGGGACCCAAGGGATGTCCCCAGCTACACCAGGCTCGCTGGGACCACACGAGCAGCATGATGGAGGCCGTTGTCTTCATCCATCCAGCTCCTCCTTACCCTCACCCTAGCCCTGAATCCACCTTCCAATTACAACAAACCATAATAACAAACCAATAAACCCCAAAGCAGTCAGCTGGGGCTCCCCACCAGCACCACCACGATGCTCAACCATCACCACCTGATGGAGATGTAGGGAAGCCAGCTCAGGCATTACCTCCTTGAGGTGGCACAGCTGCCCCTAAAGCTCTTTATTTGACCCTAAATTTTGCAGCCATGAGCGATGGGCTGCAGGAGCGGGCACAGGGGCTGGTATTCCCTGTGGAAAGCTGCTGTCGGAGAGGGTCGCAGGCACTCCTGGTCCTTCCTGGCACCAGCTGCAAAACCAGCTATGGTGACTTGGTGGGGTCCGGCACAGCCTGGGGATTCCCCAGGGTCTCGTAGCAGGGTTGTGCCGTGTCAGCCCCGCAGCAAGCAACGCCCAGAGAGCAACCTGGGCTGCAAATCCAAAAAACACCCGTATCTGATGGGACATCAGCCCGCCTCTTCTCACCCAATTTTTCTCCAGTATGTATTAATGTTTGCCTTTACCAACGACCTCGAGTGCCCCCGAGCCCGTTCCCCAGGGATCGGGGATGCCAAGCACCGCAGTCGAGGGCAAATGAGGTTTCGGTGGCCGGGAAATGATGCCGATCCTCAAAGGTCACATTATCCAGCCGGTTATTTTTTCCCTCCTCTTGCTTGATGCTGCTGGGATCCAGCATTAGATAGCAATGCTTTCCAAAAAAGGGGTCCCGCGAGACAAACCTTCTTCCGGGACCCCAGTTTTGGAATAAAACAGACTTTTTTTTTTTTTGAGCACAAATCAACCCTCTCCCCTATCAGCCTGGCTGCAGCATCTCAGGGCCAGGCTCCCCCTGCAGATATCAGGACATTAAATATCAGCCCCATGCATGGGGCCGATAGCGGTTGGGGCCAACCCCAGCAGTACCTATCTCTAATTAAGGGCCCTTCTCCATCACCCCCAGATAAAACTCACCTCGACCCTTCCAGCGGTGCCCTGAGTTAGTCAAAAGGGCAAGGAAAAAAAAATAAAAAAAGAAAATGCCTGGGGAGCTGGTAGAGGGGCGATTCATAATGCATTTATAATAATTTATTATTCAATTATAACAGGAGGGGAGTGAAGGATATTGGGGTAATGAAGGTGGTGGTGGATGCTATGATTGCTGATGGGACGCTGCAATTGCTCGCAGAAGGAGAAGCTCATGGCGGGGCGGGGTGGGATTTATAATAATTTATAGTTAAATTTATGAAGTATTTAGGCCTAATTTATCCAGTAGGGCAATGAAGGAGGCTGGGAGGGAGGCTGCGATTGCTGAAGGGGGGGGTAATACTCATGTCCTCACCCGGGAGCATCCCAGCCCCTACAAATCCCCATCCATCCCCCCGTGGGACACAGCACCCCGAGCATCCCTGCCCCGGGGGGGGGGAGCCCCCCGGCTGCAACGGTTGGGGAAGAAAAAGAGCCGGGGAGAAGCAGAGCCTGAGAAAAAGCAGCCCTGCTGATAGGGGAGAGATTGGTTTCAGCCGGAGCTGCTCCCCCTGCCAGGGGGGTGGGGAGTGAAACAGGCCGCGGGGGGCACGGGAAAATAATGAGGGAGAAAATAACAGGGACAATGACAATGAAGTGACTTTACGTTTCAGATGGGGTCGATAACGCCCTGATAGATTTTTAAGAGAGGAGAGAGTCTAATAGAGCCGGCCCCGGCACATCAGATGGATGGGAGCAGATTGCTCCATGGGAAGGGGATGTGATGCTTAACGCGGTCCTGGCTGGGGCCAGGAGGTGTTCAACCGGGGGGGGGGAGCCCCCCGGCTGCAACGGTTGGGGAAGAAAAAGAGCCGGGGAGAAGCAGAGCCTGAGAAAAAGCAGCCCTGCTGATAGGGGAGAGATTGGTTTCAGCCGGAGCTGCTCCCCCTGCCAAGTCCATATCCTATCTGCGCGGGGTGCAGTTACTTAACATTCATCACCGCCTGAACTCTGTAACTTTATCAGCGGCCGAGCATGGCGCCATCGCCGAGCCCAGCCATTCCCGGCGCTCAGATAGGGCCGATAAACCGCTGATAGATTACAGGAGATTGTTTCACTTCAGGGGCCGCGATTACTAATACTAATAGCGAGAG